CGAATGCTTTCAGGTTACTACTTGGCCCCTTACTTCATGAATAAACTATATTTTCAATACCAAAATTGATGGGACAAAATAGTGGACTCTTCATCCAAGGATAATAAGTTATATTTACCATTCATTGCATTAGTAAACTATTGTTGGGAGTTATTAAGAGTTTTGTCTCAATCCAATTAACTTTGCTTTTATGCTTTTAATCAGGTATGTTGTACAATTTAGTTTGTGATATATATAAGTTGATAGTATTTTATATTAAATTCACTGAGTTACGGACACATGTACTTCTATATTATCTGAAGTCTTTTAAGAAGTATGGATTTTAAGATCCATGTATATTAAATTACATATAAAATATGGCAGAGTTATATATTATGCATTCATGCTTACTCGAATGCTTTTTCATGTAACCAGAGGTCGCTGGCTTCATATATAAAAAGACATGCTTGCTCAAATGCTAAAACTGAGGATCTATGGGCTGCACTTGAGGAAGGATCTGGTGAACCTGTGAACAAGTTAATGACCTCATGGACAAAGCAGAAGGGATATCCTGTTGTATCTGTTAAAGTCAATGATCAGAAATTGGAATTTAATCAGGTTCCATCGCATTAGATTTTTATATGATAATGTTCGGAGAAAACATGAATCGTATGTCACATGTAAGCCTCTGTATGTTTATTGACAGTCACAATTCTTGTCAAGCGGTGCCCAAGGAGAAGGTCATTGGATTGTTCCAGTAACATTATGCTTTGGCTCTTATGACGTGCACAAGAATTACCTCTTGCAAACAAATTCTGAAACACATAATGTCAAAGAGTTCATTGGTTCCACAGACAACGGTGTAGATTGCTGGATTAAACTTAATGTGGATCAGGCTGGTTTCTACAGGGTGAAATATGATGAGCTGCTTGCTTCTAGACTAAGATATGCAGTAGAGAAACAACTCTTATCTGCATCAGACCGATTTGGTAATATATAATTTGTTGAAATTTTATTTCGGATGGTAGAAGAGTAGACTAATAAAATGCTAGTTATTTACATTGACAGGCGTTCTGGATGATTCGTACGCACTTTGTATGGCTCGCCAAGAATCATTGAGCTCCTTGATTAACTTGATGGGATCTTACAGGGAGGAAGTTGATTATACTGTGCTGTCTAACCTGATAACTGTAATGTTATTTTTCCAAATCTTGTTCATTCATTTCTTAGGTTATATTTGTTCGACTTGGATATAACTCCAATTCTTTTGTTTGACAGATAAGTCTTAAAGTTGGACGCATTGCAGCTGATGCAGTACCTGACTTACTAGATTATTTCAAGCAGTTCTTTATTAACCTTTTCCAGTACTCTGCTGAGTAAGTTGTTGAATGCATGATCCTGGGCAGATGGTGTTTCTGTTAATTTTTTTTAAGATTCCTATTGCTTCTCATAATGTAAAGGCTTATGCTAGGAATCATGATTTTATGTGGTAATGTAGCTGATAGTAGGACTAGGAATAAGGATATTGGAAGGCCTGGAATTTGGATAGCCCAAAAGAGACTCTATTAGCTATGCTCTTTTTATAGTAGTCTTTTTTAACATCTTGGGTTCTACTTCTTACCCCACATTGGCATTGCCTTGCAGGAGGCTTGGTTGGGATTCTAAACCAGGAGAAAGTCATCTAGATGCAATGTTGAGAGGAGAAATTTTGACTGCCCTTGCTGTGTTTGGTCACGATTTGACACTGGATGAAGCAAGCAAGCGTTTTCAGGCATTCTTAGAAGACAGAAATACACCACTTCTTCCACCCGATATAAGAAAGGTTTGTTGCCTGCAGTGTCATTTTAATGCATGAAATTTCCCTATGGTTTCTTCTGTTGATTATTATTGTGAAATGTTGACAGGCAACGTATGTAGCGGTAATGCATCGGGCAAGCAAATCTAACCGAGTGGGTTATGATTCCCTTTTGAAAGTATATAGAGAAACTGACTTAAGTCAGGAGAAAACACGAATTCTGGGTAATGAAATATCTTTCCTGAGAGCATATCATAGGTTTTCTGGGTATGGATATTAATATTTTCTGTGATTGTAGGCTCTCTGGCATCTTCACGTGATCCAGATCTAATTCTCGAAGCTCTTAACTTTATGTTGTCATCTGAGGTAACCCTTTTCAGATATTTTTGAAGTCAGAATGCACAAAACCACTCATATACATAATGGAGATTGATATGTTGTTAACTTGTTATATGTCGCTAAGGTTCGGAGTCAGGATGCTGTTTTTGGACTTGGTGTTACTAGGGAGGGACGAGATGTTGCTTGGTCATGGCTTAAGGTATAAAATAAACAACTCAGAACCACTTGTGAGTCATATATGAAGTGTGAAGCACATTAAATTGAAATGCAGTCTTGTAGTATCCTTCGTTTCTTTTTATTTATTTATCGATTTTAGTTTCCTTCAATGTTTTGCAAATTGATCATTAAGATTCATCGGAAACAGTTTGTCGTAGAGTCTGAATTAAGATTCCTTGGATAAAGTTTCATTGGCCTTTTCTGGTAAACTTAAAATTCACCTCGTGATTTTTCGTTGTCTACAGCAATGTCATTTTTAAACCCTTTTCCAATTTTATTGGTAAAATCAGGAGTTCATGACACTTCTATTTTAAAACTTTTTCCCATTCTATTGTCATCTTACCGTTCTCTAATGTTATACAGGAAAATTGGGAACACCTCACAAAAACATATGGTTCAGGATTTTTGATAACTCGCTTTGTCAGTGCGGTTGTCTCACCGGTTTGTCTCCTGCCCCTCCATATGCTTTGTCCCGTTGATTTTATTGGGACACTTGAGTTCCCTCTCTTGAATGTTCAATTACAATTCTTCATATTTTTGGGATGCAGTTTGCTTCCTTTGAGAAGGCCAAAGAGGTAGAGGAATTCTTTGCCACCCATGCTATGCCCTCCATTGCTAGAACGTTAAGGCAGAGCCTTGAGCGGGTTAATATCAATGCAAACTGGGTTCAGAGTGTTCAGAAGGAAGATAAGCTTGCTGATGCTGTGAAGGAATTAGCATACAGAAAATACTAGGCTCTTGTCTGGAGTGCATTTCCATCATTTGGTCGTGGTGTTAATGGTAATTACGATTTTCTTCGGTCTGTCAATGTTTACTGTCATTGCGGAGCATGTGCTCGACCAGATTTGCCTCATCTATGAATAAAAATAGGTTTAATATTTCATTTCACTATATCATTTTTTTTATGTCCTTGATAAACGTGGGTTTAGCTTGTGGATTCTTGCTATTTACTAAAAGCGACCAATTATGGCCCCTCCAGTTAATATAATAATACATGCGACAAATTAAGATTGTCACATTATGTTGCCACGTTTTATACACCTCATATTGCATTCATTAGCCACTGCCTCGCCATGTCTCACGTCACCATCAAAATCATCTTCCTCTCCCATTTCTCACCACCACCGTTGCATCCATTATTCCACCATCTCTTACTCTGACAACCATTACCATTTAAGAAATAAAATCCATGAGGGCCGTTGTTGTTACGTGGGCACTGGGGCAATGGGATCAATGACCAATGGGGGATATTGGTATGCAACAGTTATATGGGTAAACTAAAAGAGGTAGAGGATGAATAATGTTCAGAATTTGTTATGGGGGAGATGTGGCAAAAATACACTGTCACGTGGCTCCTTTATGTAGGACCAGGCAAATTTTATCTCGACATTTGTTAATCACCAGTTAATAGAACATCTTAGCATAAGACTAGCCATACAATAATCTTATTTCATTTTTAGGTTTTAGAAGAGAAAAAAAAAATCTGTTTCATAAACTAAATTAGTTTACGTATAAATTAGTTTGTAATCTGTAAAAACTGCCGTTTAGTTTTTCTAAATATTTTAGTGAATTTAAACATTTTTAACTACTTTTATTTATTATTAAAAGGTTAAATAATTATTTAAGGTATTATCCATACATGTAAGTGATATCATGTCAGTGATTGATATCTTTATAAAAAAAAATTTAGATTTTTAAAACAATTCCATGTAACATTTTTATCTACTGAAATTTTAGCTCTCAAGTTAAAATTATGTTATATTTTTAAAATAATAATAAATAAATAAATAAAGATATTTTGACGAGTATTTTCAGAACTATTCAAGTAAAAAAAATTTACATGGGAGAATTTATTCCCATATATAGAGATAAAAACACACATCAACTATGTGTGTGCAAGTTAAATATTAGTTACCCTAAAATTCAACTAACTTATCATATATGTAATTTGTGACTAAAGAATAAAGATATTTTTTTTTCACCATCAATGAATATATTTTTACTTTTAAAAATTTTCATTGTTTATTATAAAGATCTTTTTTTAAAAATTATGAAACATTAAATAATTTTCCAACTTTTAAGATAAAGGTATTTTATTAAATGTTATACTTTTGACAAAACCTTCATTAAGAAAAGTTGTAGTACATTAATTTTCACTCTAATTCTTGGCTAGTATTTTGTAGGTCCAATTTTGCATTTTTAATTTTAAACAAATTAATTCTTAAAGGTATAAAATAGAAGTTGTAGAATTTAACTACAACCTAGCCCTGGCGGGTCAGAAGTCACTTTCTTCCTGTTTTATTCTTTTGCAAAACATGACACGGCCAAACACGTAGGACCTTTAGATTGTCTTGGTGCTCGCGGCAATCAGAATCAGAACTGCAATGTTTGGATATTTATGTTTCTTAAATCATGTAATGGCCATGAAAAAGAAAAATAGTTCAATCAAATGAAATAAATAACTTTTGGAAAAAAATTTCAGCACTGCATGTTGAGCATCTTGAATGGTTGAATGAATGAAAATATCTAAAAAGTAAATCTGCGGTGATCTTTTCAGAAAGAAGAATGTGACAAGGTGCACCAGTGTGTATGATAAACCACATTCCTGTTTATAAGCATTAGGCAATTACTCTCAACCATGATAAGCACAGGTAAACCATCCCAAACCATAAAAAATAAAAAAGATAGCTGAGATTTCTTAAGCAACCTTGTCCATAATTGTCCCCACCATAATTATTGCAGTACAACCACTGGAATTGAGTCATAACCAATGATATCAATCCACCACCGACACATTTCTAGATTATGCTTCAAATAGCGAATTGCTCTGCTACATTATTGGAATGGGGGTGGATCACAACATGAAAATCACAATGCCAATTAGCTACTACTCTTTTTATAAACAACACGGGTTAAAATATATGAAGTAAATACCTCACAGAGCCTTTGTTCTCGGAGGCATAATAATGAATACAATATGGTGACAGATAGGCATGGAACTGGTCTCCTTTACCTTACCTACAAAAGCAGCAAAGATTTACATGGCCCCAATGTGGCAGTATACAAGGAGACTCTTAATCAGTTGAAAGTTCTAGGGAGAGGTGAATGTATTGTACAGGGTGCTATTCTCAAGCCCATATGAAAAATTTATGGGCAAAAAAACAATATTGGATCATATTCATCTTCCAACACCCAGGTGCACTTGAAGAAACAGTCATGTCTTGCTCTTGAATTTTCTTTGAGCTTTCAAATCCACCACAATCACAGTGATGTTGTCTTTGCTTCCTTTCTGAAGAGCGCGATTCGACAGGTACTCTGCAGCTGCTTGTGCAGCAGGATCAATTCCCTCTCCCCTTTCTGAGGGCAGTGCCAAGCCATTTTTCTTGTGCCAGAGAAGTATGCGCCGCCGAGCAATGTCACACACCTCTTCATTTGTCATTACATCCCATAGGCCATCACTGGCCAGAATGAGGCATTCATCGTCTTTTGCCCGTGGAAGAAACGTCACCTCAGGGTCTGGAATAATCCATGGCTTCAGATACCTATCACCTGTATAAATCACAGCAGCAATAAACAAAAGCAGTTTTTGACGAACTAAATGTGCAAGTATCACATGAGTCTCAGTTGCAACTTTTCAACGACATGCAACATAACATTGTGCACAAGTAATCTCAGTTGCTCCCCTGTAAGTCTTCAGGGTTAGCTGAACCAAACCCAACAATGTTCTGAAAATCAAATAAACAATGTTGATGAACTTGCAACTTTAAAAATAGCAGTTTATGTTCCATGTTGTACATCTTCAGTATGCTTATAGTATACTAAATATAAAGGGTTATGCAGCTTAAGGCTATGTTTGGAAGTATCGGAAAAAATGATATGAAATGGGGAAAAAGTTTCTTTCCCCTGTTGAGAGAAGAAAGGGGAAGGTAAAGAGTAGTAAGTGTGAAATTTGAATATAATATGAAACATAAACTGTAACTCAAATTATGCATTCACAAAGTTTTTAAAATAAAAGTAACCAATATAAGGGAGACAAAAGGCTCAGCTTGAGCACATTTCCCTCCACATTCCCTTTTGATAAAATTTTAAATATTGAAACCCCAAACAGAGCATTACTTACTCGCCACTGTTTCCCCTATAATATACCCTCATCCAAACAAAGTCAGAGAAAATTTACCGGATGAACCCATTGGAAGTTGAAAGATATTCTTGGAAGAAAAACTATACATTTAATGTAATTCAAACCATAAGTTTTGCACTAGAAATTATAAATTTAAGTTACCCAAAGTAAAAATCAAGGACATACAAAACATTATTTCTAATTGCATGCCTTTTGTAAATGATGTGATTTTAGTTAAGGAATCAAAGGAAGCAATTAACTTTAAACTTGAATTTTGGACGCAAACTGAAAAAACTGTTTTCGCTCAAGTAGGAGCAATTATATGCATTGCAACTTTTGCAATAGACGAGGAATGAGTTGGAAGTAAAAATGGGAGATGTTATACCACATATTTCTAATTCTAAATATCAAGAATCAATATTACTAAATAATGGGAAAATTAATGAGGATGTCATAGAAGAAAAAAATAGAATGGAGAAAGACATCAGGGGATATTTGTGATTGCAATGCACCTATCAATCTCAAAGGAAAGTTTTATTATACTGCTATACGTCCAACCATATTCTATGGTAGCGAATTCTGTGCTTTAAAGGGATGATGAGATAAAAAGGTGAGTAGTGAAATGAGAATGTTATGATGCATGTATGACTACACAATAAATGATAGGATGTAAAATTATTGTATATGAGATGATATTAGCTTGACATTGATTGAGGAAAAAATGACAAAATTGGTTAAAGTGGTTAGGACACTAATAAGAGCCACTAGATGCACTAGCGAGGAGGTAGATTTTATGGTTTGTAGTCATGTGAAAAGGGGGAGAGAGACCAAAAGGAATTCGGAGAAGTTGTTAATAGAGATCCCATGGTGAATAATCTTCATAAGTTTGGTCTTTAACTAAATTGAATGGCATTGTGTGAACCACGTAGCTGATCTCATGTAGTGAGATAAAAACTTTGTTGTTGTTGTAGAAAGCAAGGATATGAGGACATTTGGAGTCACTTCAAAGCCTTCTAGTTTTATGGTATTAAAATGGTGAAATAAACATCTTTATTAATTACGACTAAAACCAGAGCATGCTGACAACATAAAGTGATAGAATAATTATAAATCCTCCAACATCTTCCTACTTACTAAATGTAAAAAAATTGAATACATTTTATATTTTTAAGATATTAAATGCATTCACTTTTTCATTTTTTATAGAGTACTAGTAGCAAAAATTACTACACAGCAGGAAATGAAGCAAAATTTGTGATTAAGTACATACCAAGAGACCTTGACATTGCAAGAACACCAAACACTCGGTGACCATTCCACTGTATCACCTTGCCTCCAGCTGCCTCAATTCTTGCATATTCATCATCTCGATTAGGCTATATACAACAATCAAACATAAATTCTTTCTAATTAGTTAAAAATCTTCTGAAACGAGATGCAAACTATAATTGGAGGTAGCTTACTTTGTGATCAACAGATAGCGCCATTGGTTCTTTGCCACGACACAGAACTGCTCTTGAATCACCACAGTTTGAAACTATGATATGAGATGAACAGATAACAGCAACAACGGCAGTGGATCCAACAGTTTCTGGGGCAATAGCCTCACCATTAACTTCCCCCCCAACCTCAGAATCAACCTTCAAAAAACAATTGGTGAAAGCTTTTTTCCATATTTCTCGACAATCATCCTTGGTACTTTCAACTGATAGACCTTCCTTGACAAGTTCTATTTCCTCGGCCAAGGCCCAATGCATGCGCTCACGGCAATAATTTGCCACCTGAATGATGTAAACAAGTTATATTTGAAGAATGCCTAATCATTGGACCTAAGAATCACATAAAAAACAAAGTAAAACTTTACCTGAGAGCCACCATGGCCATCATAGACTCCAAAGAAATGTACTGTCTGCTGATTGAAACATTTGTTTATTCCATCAGGTACCCTGTCACCAATTAGCATTTGAATAGGGATTTTCGAAAACCTAGGTACAGCTGCAACTGCATCTTCCATCTCAGGTCTTTTTCCACACACAGATGTAAATCCCCAAAGTGGGGTACAATCTAATTCAAAAACACTTCTACCCACTGTTCCACTCACAGATCTTTCCAGAGGTAGTTGATGAAGAACACCGGTAGTAGGTGTTGGGCTAGATCTAACTCCTGCCTCTTCTTCAAGGCTCACTGCTACAGCAAGGGGATCACTCATAACATTTCCCTCTACATTTGACTCACCCAAATCAGCAGCCCTGGCAGCAATTTTGACAGCGGATAAGTTCTTCACTATGTCTACGGAACTTGCAGTCCCTAAATCAGAAGAAACCTCAGAACTGATGAACTCATCTCCACAAACACTACTATTCTCACTGGCTACTGAAAGAGAAGAGCTATCAATAATGGGATCACCTTCCAGTGATATCAAATCATCCTCCTCGATTTCTGGAGTCAAAACTTCATCACCAACAACCAAAGAGTTTATATTATGGGACATCATGTCCAATGATGGAATTTGTCTTTCTGTTCCCTGCTCTGGAGACGTGACAGCTGTAACACCAACTTCATCCTCCCGAAGTGCACCATCACGATTCTCATCCGAACCTATTAAAGTCTCAGTGGAAACCTTAGTTATAGAATTGGATAACAATCCTGCATCTGCCATCAGCTTAATTCTGGATACATCCATATGGCTAGCTATGGTTGGCTTATCACACACTGAATTACCTACTCTTAATGGCACTGCAATCGTGGTTGACATCTCCTCCATCAAAATCCTTGTCTATGTAGTACAAAAAGTTACCCTCCCACCCTACTGATATCACACAGCCTGTCATGTTTTAACTAATTTATCACCTTTTCGGATTGATAACGATCCCAGAACCCAAAGTGTGGAATTAAAAAAAACATTTCTCATGTCTAAGAAGCCCAGAGGTGGAGGCAAATTCCACCTATGCAAATCATGGACTAGTAAAAGGTGGTGAAAGTGAAATGGAGGTAGTCAGATCTGGTCAACAACAATGGATCCGAATTTCCATTTGTAGAAATTTCAACCAAAATAAGCTAGACCACACCCTTTTTCAACCATTATCATATTCTTCTCTGTCTACCACCGTCAACTCTAGTGTGGGAGAAACAGCCCGAAACTTGAAAGGAACAAACTTTATCTGGAAAAGAAAAAAAAAAAAAGATTAAAACCAACAAAAACTAAAGAGAGAAAAGAAAGGAAAAACAAAGCCAACACTCATTATCTCAGACACAAGAAAGAATGAGCTAAAAAAAGAGGGTCATGAGAAAGAAACCCAGGAAAAGCAAAGTCTCAAGAATCACAAGGAAGCCTTAAAAGATAACACCCTTTTTTTCACACTATACCATGAGTTGCCTGGATCTGAGGCAACAAATCTCAACCTCGTCCAATAATAATAATAATAATAATAATAATATTATTATTATTATTATTATTAATAAAATGGAAAGAAAGAAAGAAAGAAAAAAGGTAAAAGAAAGAAAGATTCAGTACCTAATTTTGTCAACCGTGTAGAGTCTAGTTTCTTCCTTCCCTTCTTTTCCCTTCTCACTACCTTGTCTTCTGACTGTGACACCTGAAACCCATGATTGAAGAAGGAACAAAGAATCAACAAAAATAAAGACACGAACTTTCCTTAATCCGAACCATTAGTTAACAAAAATTTAACAGCTTTGCCGGGTATGATAAAGAAATAAACATACCTGAGTGTGTTGGGGTGTGTGTTGGAAGCGCGAGAAAGGGAGTGGAGAAGAAAGAGAAGAAAATGACGAAAAAAAAAAGAAACTTTTAATGAAAGAAAAATGGGTTGAAAAGAGAAAGGGGCAATATAGAAAAAAGAGTAGAGTGTTGTGTGAGAGAAGACAATGGAGTTGGACAGATGTCAAATCTTGAAGAGCATATTAAAGCATCTCCACCCATCCATCCATCCCCAACCTCCCTTCACTTTTCACCATCCAATCTAATCTAATATTTTCCTCTGAAAGGAATCATGGTTTTAATGTAACACATGTTTTCATATTCCTAATGCAGTACTAATTTATAGATAAGGAGCTTCTTCACAGTTAAATAAATAAATTATAAAAGCATTTTATTATTGCTTAACTTTGCTTTGCTCTTTCTTTTATAGCCTATTCAAATCAGGGAAAGAAAGGTATGTCTTTCTATTGAAAAGGGACAAAGAAATTCTTCACTTAAATCACCATTCCCAAAATTGAGTTCCTTTATAGTCCTTTTTTTTTTCTCCCACTTACTTGATTTTGAGTCCACGTGAATTATGTAGAAATCCTTGAAATTGAGTCCTACAGTTACACATAATTTGGCTGCTTTTATTGTAGATTAGAGATGCTAAAGACATTTATTAATTATTATTGATTGAAATTTAACTGAAATCACATCTTTTTTTTTTCTTTCTAGATTTTACATCTCATTCAAGAAGTTTTTTCTTTTATTAAAATTTATGATTTCAACTAATAAAAAAAATATTAAGAAGGGAGAAGTTAGTATTTTTCTATTGTAGATATCAAAATCCAATTTGTCATAAGTAAAATTAATTTTAGAAAGAAATGTAATTTTCTTTATTTGATAGAATTTATTTTAGGTAAAGGACACAAATTATATTTTATTTATATTTTAAAAAACAACTCTACTTTGTCAACTAAATATAGTAAATTATTCTCAAATCACTTTTAAAATATTATATCAGAATACACATCAAGATTTTTAAAAACTAATACTACAAAAAAAATCAAAATTAATTATATCCAAACTCTAAAAGAAATGATCCTCCAATTATTATTTATTGAGAGTAAATAGGGCAACTTTTTTTTACCTGCTTTACAAATCTTTTATTTAAAAAATAACATTTTCTTATAAAAAAAATCAATTCAAAAGAAATTTAGTTGGATTAAGGAATAGAATTCCAAAATGATATTTGCCTATAATCAGGAGTCCTTCGAGCTAGTAAATTTAATTTTGTCAATAGTATAGGAAATATTAATAATATGCTGAGTAAATTATTTTGTTGGTTCTTTTCTTTATTTAATTTGTTTAATTTGATCCTTCATTATTAAAATAATTAATTTAATCTCTTCATGAGTAATATTATGCTCTCTTTTTTTTTTTTGGAGAGTTTTAATTAATTTTATGAATTATATGATTAGTTGTGAATTATTGTTGGTATTATTGTTTGAGAACTCTAAAATTCAGAAACTCTAAGAGTTGAGTTGTTTTTAAGTTAATTGAGACGGGGTTATGTTACTTCAACTTAAGGGAGAATACATGTGAAGCTCATAAGTTAATGTTTTAAGAAATCCTAGAGAAAAATTAATGAGAAGTTCTTTGAAACATGAGGGATCTTTTCCATCTTTCTAAACTAAAACCCTTCTCTTCCCCCTCCTTGTAGCTGATCATATTTGTTGAGTTGGTTATCCAAAGCTTAAGGAGCCATGAACACCAAGTTCGAGGTCATGCAAAATTCATTTATTTTTTTCTCCTCCTCTTATTTTGAATCAACTAGAGATAAAGGAAACTTTGTGATTTGATTTGTTATGTTGAATGCTTCTTGTTGTTACTAAAATTCATCACCTGCATGACTAAATTGGTGAAGATTGTGAATTTAAGTGTCGTTGAAAGGTGCTCTTAAAAATGGAGTTTCTTGACTAAATTGATGAATTTAGTATTTTATAGTTTTGTGTTGTATTTTGAGTTGGTTTGGTGTCATTTATGGTGTATATATGTTGTATGTTGTATCGCATGTTGTTTTGGCTGGTTGGATTACAAGTTTTAAGTCATTTGATGATTTTGCTATGTGTAGAATGAACATCGTATCGACCACACCTTCATTGTGTCAAAGTGGCTCTTGTTAGGGGGATCTATACCCTAATCACATTGGACGTGGGATTGGTAGCGTCTAGTGTGAATCGGTGAGGAGTCCTTTGACTTAATCACGTTAGGCGTGAAATAAGTGGCGTTGGTGATGTTGAGCCCAAAGGTGTGGTGCCTAGGATGATCAAGTCGGTGAATCACTACTTAAATGACATTGGGCGTAGGTTAAGTGGCATTGAACATCAGTTAGGTAGAAACTCTTTGTCTAATCAAGGCTAGATGTGGGTTTTGTCACGCCAAGTGCAGGAGACTCAAAGGTTCTCTACCTCACCTATGTTGGGCGTAGGAGGATTGATTGTTGGGCGTGAGTGGGACAAAAAAATCTTTGTATCAATAGCACCAAGCATGTTTAGAATGGCACTAGACGTGATATGTTGAAATGAAGCATGATGTTTTAAGTTTTTTACATGTTGAAATATGATGAATTTCTTGTACGAATGATGGCATGTGATGATGTTTAAAGTTGTCTATGACGAGAATTGATAAAGATGATTAAGTTGTAAGATGTATAATATTTTAAGATGCATGTTGATGGATGATAAAGTTGTATTTATGCTATAGTTGATTAAGTTGTTAAGTTTTTAGGCATGTAGTATAGACAGGTGTCTTTACTAAGATATATAAAAATAAAAGGAGAGTAAAAGATGTTTTTAGAAATTAAAATATTTCATTTTGTGAATATAAGTCGTGGTATTCTACAAGCCTAATTAGGGATGGTAAATAAATCTGTACTCGTGAGTAATACCCGAACCCGTCTTGATTTTGATGGGGAATACCCGATTTGACCGAGTACGGGTACATGTGCGGGAAAATCTAATATATTAAACCGGGTACGAGGTACGAGTACAGGTATATACTCATACTCGTACCCGTCCCCTATTTAATTGTGTTAAGAAATTTAATATTTTATTATATGTAATTATTTATTATAATGTGAAACATTTATAATTGTTTAATTATTAAGAAATCTCTTGATTAAAATATGAGATAAAGAAACAATCTAATTATAATTATAATATAATGGAAAAATAATTTATAAATATTGTATATTTTTTTTACAAAAATTCTTTTTGTACGGGTACGGGTACGAGTATACCCGATACCCGATGGAAACGAGGATGAGGAAAAAAATTATATGCCCGATGGGTACGGGTACGCGGATGGGTTTGAGTCGCGAGGACGGGGACGAGTATCATGAAATCCATACCGACCCACCCTGTTGTCATCCCTAAGCCTAATTGAAAACCCTTCAATAAGTAAGTTAACTTCTAAATGGGTAGTTGTTTAAAGTTTTTTTCTCTATATTTTATGTGAAAGCCATATGCGGACAAAGTCAAGACATGTGTATAAAATGACTAACCGAATAAAGTACAAAATTGAGAACTTAGTCCCTAATTAAGTATCAGGAGGGCATAGTGTTTGAAAGGTAGTCGATGTGTTAAACTCATAGGAGACTTAATGTTACAAGTTAATTTCGTAGTAGACTCATACCCAAATTGTTACACTCTAATAATAGTACTAAACTTCTTAATTTATATGGCAAAACCTGAGAAATTTAAGTTGTTAAACAAGTACTTTGAGAATATTGAAGTTGTCTATAAATGACCTGATTACAATAGGTCAAATGTTGTGATTTAGTAAGGTTTAATCACTTAAATTATTCACTTATGTTATAAGAGATTTTTGTAATTGATATGTGTGACAACACATTAGTTACTTTTTGTTATTTATGATGATTATGTTATGTTGAAATTGTTAAGATGTGTTAAGGTGTTGTAAGTTGTTGAAATGTTGTTTACAAGTTGAAAGTTGAAATGGTTTAGTAGGGTCTCATCACTTAAGTCATTCACTTCTGTTATAAGAGATTTTTGTAGTTGATATGTGTGACAACGTATTAGTTAGTTGTTGTTTATGATAATTATGTTATGTTGAAATTGTTAAGATGTGTTATGGTGTTGTAAGTTGTTGAAATGTTGTTTACAAGTTGAAAGTTGATATGTAAAGCTGCATGAGATGTTGAACAAGTTGTTTAGGTTGTATCGTTGTAAGTTGATGTTGTATATGTATGTTGTTTATGTTTCACAAGTTTACCATTTACTTTCCTCATGATTGGAACTACAATGATCATATTTAGTACGCGAGTAAGGCACGATTAGCAGGTTTGCTTGGATGGTGGGTGGTGAGTCATGTTGGTGATGACTTTTTTGTTGATGATACTCTGATATAGCATGGTTGATGATTAGATGTTTGATTGACGAATAAGATTTATCTTGTACATAGTTATATAATTGACGTAAATTGTATATATGTACAAGGTGTATATAATCTCACAAGAGAATGTTATGTTTTTAGAATTATGTTATTTGTCTTATACATGTATAACTATCATTAATGATTATAAAACTGTTGCACAAGAATCCTATGCTAGTTGTATGTTATTTAATTCTTCTATAATAACTGAATTATAAGTATAATGACTTGCCAAGTCACTGTATTTTGTTTTATAAATAATGCAATGTTATCATTTTCATCAAATTTAAATTAATAACTTTAACTTCTTGTCACATTTCACAATAAGAAAAAATGTCATTTGTTATCATGAGTATAAGAAAATAACTCTAATTTAAATAGAAAAGACAACATTCCATTATTTTTTAAAATTAAAAGATCAATTTGAACATTTTAATAACAAAAGTATTAAATTGAATTAATTAAATAAATAGAAAACCAACAATAATTTAGCTTGATATATTTTTTTAAGCATATATATTTCTATTATTAATTGATTTTAAATTCCCAAAATTATGAAGAAGAAAAACTAGTGATTTTTGATAAAATTTAGTCATTAGTTTTTTTTTAAAAACAATAGAAACATTTTGGTAGCATTTAATATTATATTATATTTTAAAAAAAAATTATAATTAAAACTTTGATTAAAAAATGTCATGTTAAAAAGAGTGTATATAACTATGTTCTTATTGGTGTTCATAAGTCCATTCAATTTCAAAATATTATTAATCTCACATTTTAAAACTGAAATTTAAAAACAAAAAGACCTAATCTTCTAAGAA